GGATAAACCACTATCGTATTACATGTGGTCCGTCTATACACTTGGGAGCTTCACACTTTAGACGAATGTACCCATTTACAGAATCGGTGGTGGACCTGGACGCCTGAGTTTTCTTAATAAGTTGAATTTCAATCAACAAGTTCTTCGGTTTCAGGGAAGACGTGTATCAATTGGGAGGCTGGCTAATTTGCTGAATCAGAAACGATGGCATTCTCACGGACAGACAGACGAATCAAAGTTGAGAGCTAGGATTGCAAGCAACTTTTCAATTTGGCCTCAGCTCTACAACGAGCCTTGAATTCATGAAAAGGATTGTCTCTTGCACTTGGCAGTAGTGCAGATTTGATAATGTCTACACGAAATCATCAAACACTAATCTATACTGTCGTACCGTAAAATGGCTCTCCAGCCATAACTGTAATCCTTCATTTCCTTTGTACTTTGTTAAAAAACTTTTTGCTGTGTTGACATGGTTAGTTGTAACTTAGAGACAGGTCGAGGTGCCAGAACTATTCTTAAGTAAAACGAACAAATGTACACAGGAACGTTTAGACACTTATCAACCTTATTTGCATCACTTATCTTATATGTGCTGCCCTTAAACAAAAAATGTACTATCGATAAAAATGCAAAAGCTATTCTTTTAGTCTTTTTAGAATTTACTTTTGTTTGTATGATTCTCCTGCTGAGAGAGGTTCATTTGGCCATCGTGTGCTCGATCTGGCGTTTCTGCACCTCTGTTACTGGGTTTTCACGCTGTGCATCTGTGTATTCGTAAGTGTTGCTTTTCATTAGTTAATCCGGCAATTTCTGTACATTTGAGTAAAGCAGTGTGCTTCCTTTCTTAATTTATTGGAAGCAAAAGGATTCGTAGTGGGAAATTAAGGCGATTTCCGTTTTCTGGGTTACGATGTGTCGACTAAAATTAGGGGGTTAATGGGTGTTGGTGTTTTGCCATGTGACAAACCTTTGTTACTTGTATTTGCTTCTTTGTTTCGGCATTTCTTCCAATTGGTAGGTCGGTTTTCCTCACTGGTCTTCACCTTAGCACCATATTTGTAAGCGAAGCAAGGATATTGAGGATGTTTGTGGCGTAGAAATTTGTACCCAGAGCAGTCACTGACGACGACACGTTTGTAACAGTCGATATGTGGTGACTGTGCACAAGCTTACAGTCTTGGTTTTGTCTGATTTACTTCGATTGAGCGAAGGCCTTATTATGTAACTTAATAGTGTTACTTGAGGTTGAAAACACGTGTTTATACTCCGCGACTTCATGCTTAATCAGTTCTCTCAGTCATTGTTTTGCTTCAGCGTAGTGCTATGAGTGCATTTTCTACTATGTCCACATTTTTAATAAAAACGTAATCGTTTATTCGAAGTTGGTTGATCTAGCCTCCACAGGTACTTCATTATACATTGATATTTGATCAGATGCAACTGCCGGAACATTCTACAAGACATGTGAGAACCCTCATTTGTTCCCGCTTCATAATTGTTGACTAACTCTGCCCAAGTTTCTGGGTTTGTTGACTAGCTAACCGGGTTTTAGATGGTTCCGCAGATGGGTATGTTACAGCCAACAAGTCCAACACCGGGAATCCTTAATCCCAACCTTTCGGACCCCTCATTTGATGAATTGGAATTACGCCGCATGGCCTTGCAGAGTCTGTCCAAGCGCCCTGTAGAACCACCTGCCGTGAACCACGCAGAACGTACGTGCTGCTCTATTTTCACTTGTCCCCTTTTAGAGGCGCAATCAGAGTTCGGTACAGGTAAACACATCCAAATTCATTTCATGTGACAACGTAGAAAGAGGTAATGCTGCTACGGACGTGAGAGACGATGATAAAGAAGACGAAATGTCTAATGTACGTTTGTCATTCATAACCTCAAATGCGTTTTCAGGTGGGTCAAGAAATGGAACAGGAACTTCGAAAAAAGGCGTTGCTTTCTTTTACAAAACGACGGGAAGAGCTCATACACGTATCGAATTCTGTGCCTTCTTTGACTACACTCGTCATTAGTGCACCACCACCTCCCCCGTCACTACCATCACTAGGGTCATCACCTATTAAATCTCGTTTTGTCATCAGACTCAACAGGCGTTCTGTCTCAAGCTCTTCTGCCAGTGGAGATGATGAGGCTAAAGGGCTGCCCAGCGTCACTCTAATCTCTCGTCGTGGCAAAATCGCCCCTTCTGTGGTCCCTCACTCTTCCTCACCACCCCCATCACAGCCACTACCAGCCCCTCTCCCGCCGCTACCACAGACAAATAAAAAATTCCACTTGGATACCACATTAGTGCGTCGGGCCCAAACTCCCAATAAGTCGGTCTCTGGACCTTTCAAAGGCAATGTACAGTCTTCCACCTCTGAAGTTGGCCCTCGTAAAAAAGGTAAATTCGCTCTCGCTGCTTCTCTTCAGTCCTATAAAAAGTTGGTTCAAAGGCAGTCTCTGCGTGTGGAGCAGCTGCAAGCTTTGGTAAAACGCCAGGACAAGCTTCTATCCCTCCGAAAGCGGTCTGTAGCCGTTTTGAGTTCAACTCTTACCTCACTGAAGGCCAAACTGAACCAAACTACGAAGCTTTACCTATCTGCGAGGCAGGCTGCTGTAAAAGCAAGCAAGGAAAAACAATTGACGATGGGTAATTTGATCAAGGCCCACAGAGAATTGGAACAGATGAATGCTGCAGTAAGGCGGCTGTCAAAGAAGTTATCCGTCGATGGACCTTCCTCTCGACACCGTTCGAAACCCGTACATCTTCCTCCCTCCCCTGCAAATGAACCTATTCCACAGGGTCCAATGGAACTCGCCAGCTATTTAGCTGGTCTATTGGATAAATTAGAAGCCGCCTTTAAGATTACTAGCCCACTGTTCCGGTACTTCAATCTCTTTGCTCTCTCTACAAATATGCCCGAAGAGGTTGAGATGACGTCACCATCTCCGGATACGAGAGCTTCTTCTCCTACACCCCCTTCACTGGATCCTAACACACCTATTTGCCCCTTTTACCTGAACGGAAACTGTGTAGATAAGACCTGCTCTTTCCAACATCCAACCAACTCCGCCGCTTCTCCAGTTATGTCGAAGGCATCACTCCAATCCTGTGTGGTATCAGCCTCCATTTCTGAAGACTTGGAATCACTTTGTCACGTTTGTGGAGCTCAATTAAATGTCACAAATGCCAGGGCTCTCGACTTTTGCTCTTCTGTGCTCGACTGGCATGTAGTCTTTACGAACTTTAATGACTGGACGCCCTACCTCAATCCACCTTTGGACCTGACAAATGTGCATGATGTGGCCTTCCTCAAGCATCACCTCCATGCCGTCCTCGTTTCCACAAGCACTCCAGTCGCTGATGCCTTAGATTTTCTGCAGAAAACTAACTTTCACCCACATCTCTTCTCTTATGCCATCAACTCTGCCCAGATTTGTTCGTTATCTGCTCGGAGGGAGCTGGTGCGGCAGTCCCTATCTCTGCTGCTCCTACTGGCTCACGAGCAAGCTTCGTCCCTTACTGCCTCCATCTTATGCATGAACGCTCTCCTCTGTGTTACTTACCACGCATGCCGGCTGGAGTGGGAGGCGTGTGGTTCCAAAATTGGTACATCACTGATCGAGGACCTCCTTTTGCACGATCAAGCAGTTGCTCCCACCTGTCTGCCTCCTAATCATCCGGCTCGTTGGGGCCTTTGGTATCTTAGAGTGACTCTTCTGCTTTCCACCACCTTTCCTCAATCACTCGACTATTGTCCCCTCTTTGAACCCGAAAAATTGACAGCTCTTCGAGACATCTTTCAGTTGGCGGTTCTCGACCTCGGTCTGTGCGGCGACTGTCTTTCAAATCTCCTCTCCAGCTGCAATCAAGAGGGCATTCCTGTTTCCGACGTCTTTCCTGTACTCGCTTTCAGCCATTTCTATGTGCAATTCCTCGCTGCTGTAGGTGATAATGAACGTGCTGCTCTTTTCTGTCTGGACGCTCTTGTGAG